TTGAATCCCACGCGATTCTCTCCCCTTATGATAAGGTAATCTATATCAGTGGACTCCCTTTAAAATTATGAAAACAAGGGCGATGTTATAATCCCCCTTTTTTAGGCAGGAGTGGCTTATACAGAATTACCTACACAGCATGCATTTGTCACGTGTATATAAACGATAACCCTTACTATAAGATTAATTAATTATCTAATTGGTTATCCATTCATCGGCTCAACAGAGTACCAATATTTTAATAACTGATTTTATATTAATTAGAAATCTGAAGATTCAAATAAAACAGAGCAATTTTGTTAAATAATAAACCATAATTATATAAAGTTAGTAAGACAAGATTAAAATAAATACCAATAATAATAAAAGATTCAATTAAAACAGTAGAACTGTATTAAATAATAAACTATAGTTATATAAAGTTAATAAAGACAAGATTAGAATAAACACCAATAATAATAAACCATGATTTTAATTACTTCCGGCTGGTGTATGTGGTATGAACTGCACCATTGACGTGACTAACACACATAAAATCTCGTAAAACTGGATGTTATATTGACATCAGGGCCTACAGAGTTAATGGACTTTAAAGGGGGGATTTTATCATTCCAGAATCACACCACTCCTCTGTTGTATTCCGGTGTTTAGAATAACCGAATATCTCTAGAACTAGATTGGTTATCTCACACTTAGGAGTTGCTGTGGTGCCACAGATATTATCACGTGGGTGTGGGTGTAGGGGCGTGTACTTCAATCAGGGGTAGACTGGCTGTGTTCAAGAGAGCCCGGGAAATTTAAAAAGGGGCCCCCCAACCCCTGATTAAAAATTTGCATTGTGCATTTTTCATCATCGTAGCTTGATGAATATCATCAACTTGATGGAAATTCACGCAACAAATTATATTTTTTTTTAAATATCAAAGCACTAATAGACCTAGGATTTTTTTTTACCCTGGGGTAGAGTTTCTTCCAGGCATCTCTTCGGTGGGGGGAGACCCCCCTAAGAAGGAATACCCCAACCCCGAACGAAATGGAATGTATATAGAAAATATATACTTTTAACATTGTCCGCCAACCCCCCCCACCCCCCCCCCCCCCCGAAAATTTTAGACCACCGCCCCCCCCCCTCCCCCAAAAATTTCAAGTGCCCCCCCCCCCCCCCCCCGGTGAAAAAAATCTGAAAGAAACACCGCCTGGGGGCCCAGTGGGATTTATTAACCTTGGGGCCAAATGGCATTTTTGCCGGTAGACCAACGGGCCAGTCCACCACTGCCTTCAATCACTGGCATTGAATGTCGAGAATTGAAGAACACACGATGTCACTTGATGTTGTTTTACTGTGCTTATACTCATTGATTGAACCCACTTTTAACTGCCCTAATAGGTTTAGGTCTCTAATGTAGAACTTGCCCTAAAATAGGCTTCCTATTTTCTGAATAAAGACTACTTATTTACTTTATTTTCGACAACAAAGTTGGCATAATATTGACAATACTATTACTCCAAGTTTTGAGGTCAGAGAAATAGGTCGACTCTACTTCAACACCTTTTGACCAACCGGTTCTATAAGGGTCATTTGCTTAAATGATTTTTACTCAAAAAGTAGGCGCCCGCTAAAACAATGACTGATCTTATAATGACATTTAATTATTCTGTTGATTGTTTAAATACCCAATTATTTTGTTATACGGGTTATGCATTATGTCTCTTATTTATACAATATTTATCTATCAATCCTGATTTTAAAAATGTATGTGATATTTGTTATAAAATTTGCGATTCAGATCCTAATTAAAAAGCATCTGTAGGCCTACTATTTATTATTTGAGTGGCTCTAATAAGTTTCAGTATTAGTATTATGACGCAACGGTTGCTTTGCCCTAAACCAAGATGTAGCTAACATGGAAAAACTAGGGAAGGACCAGCACCAGTCTACGTATGATAAACTTGTCTTCTACGAGGGCAGATTATCTCAATTAACTCCTCTGCTACGTGTATACGCCCACTACACAGACACACCTATTATAGGATACACCGACACACCGACACACACCACTACACTTCACTTCCATTACATGAGCCTAATATATAGACACTCCCTCAACACATGACACATGTACGACACAGACACATGTACTCCACAAAGATAAACACAACACACGACACACCTAAAACACAGACACACTTCACGGACACACATGTGACACGACACACTCACTCCACGGTACATCATATTTATATGACACCTACTAAAGAGACACGCTATCACCAAACGACAAACTTACTACACAGACACACTTCACAGACACTCACATACTCCACAAAAATTCACACAACACACTACAACACATTCACACCAGACAAAACACATAATCCACAAAGGTACACACATCACACGACACACGCAGGCACACACACACCATACAAACTCACATTACAACACAACCTGTGTGTGTAAGAAAAGATATGTATGTCTCCATTGCTGACTGATATCATCTACAAAATACCAACAACAACAAAAAACAATAGCTGGAAGTTACATCATTATCCCGCGGATACATTGTAGGCTAAACTGAGAGAGCTCCCCCCATTCCCCATCCCCTGGCGCCCCTACCCCCATGAGCGCCGAAATGCCTATGTTCACCAACACACCACCCACTCACCCCTCTTTACACCTTGTTATCTCATTATATAACTGTGCATAACAATCGATTAGTTATAAAAGTGGGTATTACAAAAGTTGAATATACTCAACATAGCGGCTGTGTTGAAGTGTGCCACGCGATTTGTTGTGGAACTGTGTTGCGGAACTTGTTTAACTTGTTATCATGTGTGTTCCGGGAACACTGATAAGACATAAAAATGGAACATGTTCTGTAAACAGCAATATAAAAAAACCATGCATTTTTGGAACTACATGAATTATAAAGTGTGGGTGCCTGGGGGGGGGGGGATGGGGGTGATTGGATGGAAAGGAAAAGTGCTTGATTCTGTACCTAGAAGTTTTAGCTTGTTTTAAATTTCACACACGATACACTTTAACCGTTATACATTTCCGGTTCCTCATACATTTATCCAGCTACATGACATAACCCCCCCCCCCCCCCCGGAAATTACCCCCCCCCCCGGACATTTACTCCCTAATAACCCCCCCCCCCCCCGGAGCTATTACCCTCCTGTCAATTACCCCCCTGTCAATTACCCCCCTTCCCCCAGGGAAATTACCTCCCCCCCTCAAGTTAGAATCCTAACTCTAAGTAGAATTCTATACCTATATACTACTTTAATCCAAACCTTAAGAAAATGACCAAAACCTAAGCATCCACCTTAGCCTACAACTTCACACAAAACCATAACCAACGCTAGACATTGGTTTAACCCTAACCCTAACCCTAACCCTAAACCTAGCCCTGTCAGGGGGGGGGGTAATGTCCTACTGGGCGGGGGGGGGGGGGGGGTAATTGACAGGGGGTAATTACTCCGGGGGGTAATGTCGGGGGGGGAGAATGTCCGGGGGTAATTGCCCTGTTCCCCATTTATCCATATAATGATACATAAGAACATTATATAAATCATTAAACCTACCCTATTAGTTAGACAATCTTTAAACCTATCCTTTTAGTTAGACAATCATTAAACCTACGCTACTAGTTAAACAATCTTTAGACCTATCCTATTATAGACAATCATTAAACCTACCCTATTAGTTTGACAATCATTAAACCTACCCTATTAGTTAAACAATCATTAAACCTACTCTACTAGTTAAACAATCATTAAACCTATCCTATTATAGACAATCATTAAACCTATCCTTTTAGTTAGACAATCTTTAAACCTACCCTACTAGTTAAACAATCATTAAACCTACCCTACTAGTTAAACAATCATTAAACCTATCCTATTATAGACAATCATTAAACCTATCCAATCTATTTAGTATCGCCTAGCGGTAGAGAGCTAGACTGCTAACCCGAAAGCCTCGAGTTCGAATCCAGTTCATTGAGTTCACCCCGCTCTCATGAGTACCTAACTAACACTATCCCTTCATATGCTGAGGTCCCTGAAACAGATGAACTCTACTTCATCTGCTCCATGTATCTTGAGTTCGAACAGGAAAATATAATTGCGATGATGAACAGACTTAACATAAAATCTACTTTATCGTTATTTATCCAATAATAATTTATACCAATAAAACCTATCTAATTGGTCCTATGTGTTTTTTAAAAACCAGTTTACATACATGAATAAAGTGATTTAGTAAAAAGATAAAATTAAAAAGGATATACGGGGCGACCTTGTGAAGGATTAGTAAAAGATATAGGTTAATGAAGGCTCGGTTTAGATTTAGAACCTATTACCAATCACGTAGTGATCTAGACGACAAGGTACCCTGCACGTAAAAACCTAACGCACAATTTCAATCATTTATTTACGCAGTGTTCGGGGGGGGGGGGGGGGGATGTGAAGAACGTTCTAGAACTATCTGCCAGGACTGACGAAAGATGGGACTGATTAAGTTCATGTGTGTGAGCAATCTTGACCGCCTTCCTAAGCGACTCCCCCCCCCCCCCCCCCCATTGTCGGTTACATAAGCAACGTGGCAGCGGTTGGCTATCTAGGTCAGGTTAGTCTATTTTTAGCCAGCTTGATACAACACCGTTACCTGCGAGCGAGCAGGATAATGCAGTATGTTACATTCACGTGTGTGGTTTTTTTTTTCTCCGCATGTGCATTAGTTGACACGGACGTGTGTTCAGCAAATAGTGTGTTTTTAAACTCGTGTTTTTTTTTTATTTAAAAATATGTACACGGTTTTATTCTCAACGAATTGAGAAACGAAAAACGAAAATTTCAAGTGGATTTAAGTTTAAGTAAAATGTGAAATATCTTACGGTGTTATAGTTTATTTTTAACCTGTGAAATTTTGTTATCTTATTCCCTGTGATACATTATATGGACTATGTGATTTTTAAATATAAATAAACTTGTAAATGTGAATTCTTTACTTTGTGAACTTTTACTGTGAGGGGACGGTAAAGTATAAAGGTAAAGTTTTTTTTTTACTTGGTCCTACTCACTAAAGATATTAGTCATACATTCGTGTTTTTTACGTTGAACTATTTTTAACATTAGTGACTTCACTATTACTCACGCTGGCTTTAATTAAATTCACAAAATCAAACGGATTATTTAATCCTTAACCCTAATCCTTCTGACCAAAAGACAAACTTAACCTTTACTAAACTAAATTAAATTCGAACTAAAAAACCAACCTTGTCTTGAAAGGTGTTTATTATTTAAAGTTTACGTTTTACCGTAACTACAGCAATTAACACGCTGTTTCTTTAACATAATTACCGTATTGACTGTTTAAAATAATGCAATATTGTTTTCAGTTAGGGCCTAGGTATTTTATTTGGTCTGGAAAAATAATGAGGTCAGTAGGTCGGATGACACCAGTGTGTCACCCACTCCACCACAGACTGTTTGTAATTTGTACTAAACGCATTTTGGTGTCACCCTCATTTCCAATGCGTCACTTTGTATCTAATGACGTATACAGCCTTGATACGGGACTACACTAATTTGGAAAAAAAAGTCAGACTTTCTCATTAAAATCAGTGTTTCGTTCAGACTTTTTCTCCGGGGGGGGGGGGGGAGAAGAGAGAGAAGGCACCTGAAGGTTTGGGGAGGGGAGGGGGGCGGACTAAAATTTCCTAGAGGGCTGACTGTTAAAAGTATATATTTTCAATATAAATTCCATTTCGTTGCGGAGGAGGGCAGACCCCCCCCCCCCCCCCGAAGAGATGCCTGGAAGAAACTCTGATTAAAATTAGTTTTTGTTTTGTTTTGGTGCCACCCAATTTGGGACGGTGTGTCCTAGGCGGTAGAGCGCTAATTTGCCAAGCCGGAAGACTCGAGTTCGAATCCGGGGTTCAAGTCAGTAACACCCTGCCCTGGTGGGTACCTAACTCATGTTAGTGAAAGTAAAGGCGGCTGAGCATATTGCTGAATACACCTGCCCTTCTTATGACGAGGTCCAAAAACATATGGACTATTTTCTTTGATAGGATAGTGTTCCCCTGTGCCATATGCACCAACCCCCCCCCCCCTTTCCACTTTGTGAGCCTACTAAGTGTTGTTATAGTTATAGAATTGGGCTCGATAACAATTGCAAGTATCATATATAATGTACATTTTAAAAAAATGCAAACAAATAACCGGTTAACATTGCATCTGATTGTAAATATCAGATTATAACAGGTCTTTAAAGTTAGACGGTCAACAGACTTTCATGTGCACCAATACGCTTTAGAGTGTAATACAAGTTCTCTTGACTGCAGCGCTGTTATTTACCATACGAAGACCTGGATAGGGTTTAAAATAAAGACCAAGAAAACTGGACGCATTCAGTGATTTATATTTTTGAAATCAATAAAAAAAATGTTTAAGAGTTGAGTTCAATTTGTGGTGAATTATATTTTTTTCCTCAAAAGTGGATGTGGGGTGTCGTGGATGTGGGGTGTCGTGGGTGTGGGGTGTCGTGGGTGTGGGGTGTCGTGGGTGTGGGGTGTCGTGGGTGTGGGGTGTCGTGGGTGTGGGGTGTCGTGGGTGTGGGGTGTCGTGGGTGTGGGGTGTCGTGGGTGTGGGGTGTCGTGGGTGTGGGGTGTCGTGGGTGTGGGGCGTCGTGGGTAGGTGGTGTAGTAGGTGGGTGGTGTCGTGTGTGGGTGGTGTTGTGGGTGCGGGGTGTAGTGGGTGCAAACCTTCTCGACCCATACTAGCACACCGACACGGCTTGACTTAGATGGACCACACACGTGCGTTACTTACCTGGCCAAAGGTCACCAACACACCAGCCGACATTTATCTCAGACGATCACTCGGTCTGGCAGATTCCCCCACCCAGAGAGATCCCTCCCTAATGGTGGGGTCTATACTATAGTGTAAGCACACCAGTTCCCCTTCATTCCCCGATAGCCAAATTTTGCGTTTATTTGATACACACACAAGTCTAAACAATCAATTGACAGCTTACTTTACGATATGCGTTGAAAATAGAAGTTTGTGGTATTTATAATTTTTTTAAAGCATAGGCAATGAAGCTAAAAATTTATTTAATTGTACTGATAGTAATAAAACTGGAATTTATCTTTGATTTTATGTTTAGGTTGAGGTTTAGGTCAGTTGGCGTTGTTTACCCCCGTCATTTGTAGCTCTGGCCACAAGTGACGCACCTAGTTTTGTTTTAATAAAAAACATCTTTCTGCATTTTTAACAAATGTTTTAAAATCTTTCTATTTCGTTGCAGGAAAATTCAGACTGAGTTGAAACAAACACAGAAATTATCAACGAAAAAGAAGAGAATTTGTCTGCATTTATAAGGAAAAAAATTGGACGTTTTTACATTCACGAATGTAAAATAAAATTGTGCCTGAATTTTACTATTTGACCGAGAAGGTTTTGAGCAAGCCCATTGAACGTGTCGGGATACTAAACGAACAGGCTCACAATGTCGGACACAGAGGAGCAGAAGGTGTGTATCGTCTGCGCAACGTTCGAGCCCCAAGCCTGGAGAAAGTCCTTGTGCAGAAACTGCTTTCATTCCTTAGAGGAACACTCGGAGGAGCTTCTCGCAGCTGAAGCTGACGCTGTCGCCAAAGAAAAAAACGCAGGAAAAACAAACGAAGCTCTCAGTGATTCCTCTAAACCAAAAGACAACTCGATATCTTCAGGAAAGGATGTACAAAGTAAACCGATTTCTAAAGAATCTAACGGGGAGAAAGATGCTTCTTCGTCTAAAGATATAAAAAGTAAATTAGGAAGTGGGAAAGAAGTTCCTAAAGATGCAGGTCGAGAGGTCGCTAAACCAGGGTTGAAGGGCAGCTCTACTGTAGCAATGATAGGCGGAAGAAGCAAAATTATCACGACAACCTCTTCCACCACACAATCTTCCTCCTCATCTTCACTGAAAACATCACCGAAAACATCAACATCCTCTACAACGTCCTCGACCTCAGCTACGTCGTCCACATCCACAGCAACGACCACAGTCACGTCAACTGCCAGCGCTCAAAAGCCGAGTTCTTCCTTAGCTAAAAATGTTGCTTCCAAATTCGAATCCAAAGCAGCCACAACGACACCCAAAGACAAACCGCCAGTCAAGACAAGCGCTAGCGTCTCCAGTCTTACCAGCAAGCTCTCGGGAGATTCCAAAGCTGATTCAAAATCTGGCTCACCTCCCAAAACTATAGACAATAAATCCTCAGATTCCTCGAAGAAAACTGACTCTAAATCTCCTATAAAAAAGGAAGACTCTAAATCGTCAGACGCAGCGGTTTCCACTTTGAAATCGTCAAATTTAGATTCCAAAACGAATGGATCCAAAACTAAAGAAGAAACGAAACCAGAAACCAAAGACAGCAAGTTGGGTTTGGATTTAAAAGAAAAGAAAACGGCATCTATTTTAAGTAAATTTGAAGAATCAAAATCTTCCGCTAATCGTTTAAAATCCGCGGCTCCTTTTGGAAAAGATTTACTGAAAAGTAAAAAAGATATAGGTAAAAAGGACAGTTCCACTTCACTTGAAGTGAACGATGATTCTAAAACTAAAGACAGCCCACCTAAAACAAAAGCCAGCCCACCGAAAACCACAGGTTCGTCTGCTAATGAAAAAGACAAAACCATCCCGCCGTCGAAGACTCCTGCAGGAAAAATAAACGACGATAAAAGTAAGAAAAACGGCGAGGAATTAACTGGGAAGCTAAAGGGAGGTGAATTAGGTCAATCTTCGGCGTCTACCTCGCCTCGCCAAGACGCCAAAGGTTCTAGCACGGGCGCACGTTCGCCTAAAGACCCCGACCCCACAGACTCAGCCAACGTAAACAAGGTCGGGCACCTGGCCAAAGCCGCAGGTAAGGTTACAGATAGTAAGGCAGGTGAGCCTGGTTCCAGCGCAGAATCCTCCAAAACTACCGATGACGTCAAAGACAAAAGCTCCAGCAAATTAGACACCAGTGCCAAATTAAGTGCTCAGCTTGATGGGGATAAGCCCTCGCATTACGGAGATCGAGGGAAAGAGAAAACGCCAGAAGAGAACGGAAAGAGAACTGAAAGCACTGCTTCAGCCGCCAGCAAACCTTCATCAACGTCCACATCGTCGTCATCAAAATCTTCTAACCTAGCCTCGGATTCGAAGTCGGGTTTAAAAACTGTTGACTCTAAACCAAAGGATTTGAAACTAGACACGAGCAAAGACTCAAAGTCTTACAATAGCCCTCTTGGGAAGTTTAAAGCTTTAGAGAAAACCAAAGACAAACCTGCAGATAAAGTTGTTCCGGCGACTACACCAACATCCTCTAAAACCTCTGTGGAAAATGGAACAAGAGAAATTTCAAAGGAAAAATCGCTACCGGAAGCGACTTCCGGGGACGACAATCTCACTAAAAAGTTAACAGCCGAGTTGGAAGAAAAGGAAAAACGTCTCTCGGATCTCATGGAACGATTGAACAAAATGGAAGAGCAAGTGAAAGAAATGGAGAAAGAAAAACAGACAAGGCGCGGGTCGATTCAAGACCAGAAAGAAGAAATGGAGAAATTGTTGAAAGATTTAAAAGGCCAATTGTCGAAGATGGAAACCCAGTGTTCGAAATTAGAAAAAGATAATCAAAGTCTGCTTGATAAATTACACGCGCAAGAGGCGAGTGTCAAACGTGATCAGAGCTTAAGGGGCAAGAACATCGACAACACAGTGTTGGAGGAAGATTTGGAGGCTGCGGAGAAGGAACTTGAAGAAGTTAAAGAAGAGAATAAAGAGCTTCACAGCCAGATCATGGAGATGAAGAACGAGATGGATGAGATGTACGATCACTTCAGAGAGAACGAACACGACGAGTTCAGGGAGTTACAGAAAGAACTGGACATGACGGCGAAAAATTGCCGGATCCTGCAGTTTAAATTACGGAAAGCTGAACGACGAAACGACCAGATTGAGGAAGACAGGATACACTACGAGGAAAAGTTGCGTCAGCTGCAGGATCAGTTCGACTCACAGGACGCCAAGAACCACATTCGAGTCCTGGAGGAAGAACTGCGAATGGCCAAGGAGGTGTCTGTGAGGCTCCATGACGAGCTGGATATTGTGGAAGACAAGCGGAACAAGGCTCTAGAGGAGAACAGGCACCTGACGGAGCTGCTGGAACACACGGACAAGAGACAGTTCAGGATGGAGATGGAGATTGATAAGCTCAGGGATATTGTAAGTACACGCTTACTGTTATTGTTTTCTGCTTCTGACTTTTCATTATTCTATTGACGTGACTTAGTCATCTTTGCTCCTTATGGAACATAGGGCCTCAACCATTTACTTCCATTTCATCCGATCCACGGCTTTTAATTTTGCCGTCTCCCAGGATACCTTTTGGCTTCAGTTCTTCAAGAAGACTCCGCCCCCAGGTCTGTCTTGGGCACCATCTCTTCCGCTTTCCCTGGGGGTTCCACTTTAGCACTTGGCGTGCATTATTCTATTACTTATTAGCAATCTCCATTATGTTTTTTTTAATTGATTTCGTTGATTTAGTCCATAGGTCAAGGACCTATACGTTTTGAAAGATAATTTTGGTTCTTAAAATAAAGGGGTTCGTAAATTTTATTAACATTGTCATCGCCAATTTAACATTAACAATCTAAAAAGAAAGTAGATTTAAAAAAAAAAATACTTGTCTAATACACATACAGTTCAAAGTATTAGAGTTCAATATAACTTACAAAAATGCTATTGTTATACTTTTTTTACCGTTTGGACTCGCTATGTCATAGTTAGAGATTGTTATTTTAAATCTTATTGTTTAAGAAGAGTAAACTTTATTAACTTAATTTTTTATTTTCGGTTAATAGTGTATTGCTATTTTTGTACCTCTGTTGGGAACATCTTGCTGTATTATATAATTTATTTTATTTTTCTACTAGATTAAACTGAAAATTTAAAAGTAAATAACGTCACACTTGAGTAACCAATATTCGTGAAATATACGAACATGCATACACACACGCGAGTAAGCACGTGCACATACACAAATACGCACACACATGCACGTGTTTTCAGCTCTTCTTCCACATGGACTGGTTTCACGCTTGACCAATTCACCCACGCCATCATCAAAAACAAAACCACCTCCGCAGCTTTAATCCTTTCAAATGCACAAAACCATATGACGAGCTTCAGTTTTGTCTTTGTACAAAACCACAACCCAGATTATAACTTTACTAATAGATTCGTGAATATGTTTCTCCCTTTATCTAATTTGTATAACAGTTTTGTTTTTGTTTTGTCTATTGAGATTCTTTGTAGCATTTGTTATATGTGTGTATTTTCTAATATGATTTTTACCTTTTTATTTTTTTTAAAGATATTCTTAACCAAACCCCTTCTCTTGCAAACAAATATGTTTTCCACGTATACTCCACGACCTCCATAAATCTGAAATCTCATGTGTACAAAATCCTTCAGTTTTATTTTTGTCGAGCGTCTCGGTGAATTTTTTTCTTTCCGATTTGGCGCGGGTATTAGACGGAACGTTTTTTCATCTGTCTTGTAATTCAGCACCGTTCAGCCAACACACGTGAGCTTAGCTTTAACTCAAGCTATAATTAAACCTCTGTTTTCTCCCGAAAGTGTTACAGCTAATCCGCTTATATCCGCCATGTATACTTTACTAATTAATTGGTGTCGGTTCTATTCTTGTTCAATTTTAAAATTGCTGGTTCTTTCAATGCTTGCACTCTATGCCGCTGCAGGTTTTAGAAAAGTGTCTTCTGGGGGGGTCCGTGTTAGCCTGTGTAGTTCATGACGCATTGCTTTCATTTTCTGGGTTTAAGATTTTTTTTAGTTCGAAGTAGAGAAAAAGACTAAAACAATTTCTTTTAAAAGATTCATGATATTATAGCCGATCATTATTGCTAGTATACATACTTCTAATTTTAGCTTAAATAATGAAGATGATGATAATAGTAATAATAACAATAATAATAATAATAATAATAATAATAATAATAATAATAACAACAATAATAATAATAATAATAGTAATAGTAATAATAATAATAATAATAACAATAATAATAATAATAATAATGATAATAATAATAATAATAATAATAATAACAACAATAATAATAATAGTAATTATAAAAATAGTAAAGATAGTAATAATAATAAGAAGAACAAGAAAAAATTGAAGAATAACAATTTAATTTAGGCGGCTTGACATTATGCTGACTACATTATCACCCCTCCCCTAGTGACGAAGTCATTGAAACAGATGACCTCTACTTCACCTACACGTGTGCCTATCACGAACAAAAAAAAAGTTGAGATGGACACGCCCCTGGTGTAAACTGTATTAACACTAAACACTTGTTGAAAACATGGTTTAGCTTACCAAAAATGAGTTTTAAATATTACTTTTACAAAAAGCTCATTTACGTTAGTTAATATAGTTGAAAAAAAAACGCAATTCTCCAGAATGGAAATTGCGCTAAAAAAGAAAGAAAAAAAGAAAAAAAAAACAGAACAAAAAAAACACGATGGTAGATTTTTTCCAGCGTGGCACCAGTTTTGTTCCTTCTACTCACAGTGAGTGCTTATTTCAATACAGTTGAACTCTAATTCATCTACACGAGTTCTTGTCACGAACAAGAAAAATGATGAGATAAACACGCCCCCTCCCCGTGTAGTAAAATGTTGAACACTTTGTTTTTTACAAACATAATAACTTGTATTTTTCTTTTAACAAAAAACAACTTAATGTTAATTAATATTGTAGAACAAGAAACACGTCGATGCATTTCCTCCTAATTTTTCATCCGTTTTCCTCCTTCCACTGACAGTGAGTACTCATCTCCCTACACGTGTGTTCCTCCATCGACTACCTGTTGGTTGGCGGGTTGCCCTGGGTAGACAATCCTTGTCTTATCCCCCCCACCCCACCCCCACCCCCAACACGTGGTCTTTACCTCTAGGAACACAGTATCGCTTTCAGACTAGTCGAGCCGTAGATGAAAAGTTTTCTAGAAGTTTTTTGTGACCTGGGTGTTATGTAGGATTGTGTTGTCAGCGTTATGCCAAGCCGAATCTGCTTTTACCGATTTATGACGGGTACGCGTTATAGCTAGGTGGGCTCAAAGACGTGAATAAGGAAATACTACTAAAGGGTTTCGGGTGTGTTGTCGTATACTCTATTACTCAATAGTTCGGTATCTGACTTTAATAGGGTTAGAGAAAGTTGTTAAAATTGTCTTCATCTTCTACCACAAACATTGCCTGTTTTGGTCAATTTTGTGTCTGTTGTATATTTCCGTTTAATTCGTTTAAATTTTGATTAACAGAGGGACGACGAGGTCGAATGGTAGAGCGTTCGACTGCTATTTCGAAAGTCTCGCGTTCAGATCCCGGGTCTATGTGCGAATATATCCATGAGTCCACCCAGCTCTGATAGGTACCTGACTTACATGAGGAAAATAAAGGCGGCTGGGCTTAGTGTTTACCACACTTGCCCATCATAATTATGTCGAGCTCACTGAAACAGGTGAACTCTTCTTCATCTGTTCCATGAACCGTAAAGGTTCGAAACGATACTGGATTTATATATTTATAGATTGTTTGGTTAAAAAAAAAATCAAAAGATCTAGATATTTAAGAAAAACGTACACGCCGTGCAGAGTTTCTTCCAGGCATCTCTTCGGGGGGGGGGGGGGGGGGGGGGCGGGGGGGCGGGGGGCGAAGAAAGTCTACCGCCCCCGCGAACGAAATGGAATTCATATAGATATTATATACTTTTGACAGTGTCCGCCCCCCCCCCCCCCCCCCGAAATTGTTGGAAAAAAAAAGCTTAACTAAAGAAATAGCACTCTGATACAAACGCAAGAGTAATTAACTTTTGCAGGCTACGCCTTTGTGAATGACTTCTAAAAGTTGTATCCTTTGTTCATTGAAGGATTTTATGTGTGTATGTGTATGTGTGTTTTTTTTTTGTTGTTTTTTTTTTGTTGTTTTTTTCTGTAACCGTACGCGAATCTAGATTAACCATTCAGAAATGTGAGCGTAATTAATGTATCATAGGGGAAGGGGGGGGGGGGGTAGACACGTACTTCATAAACTAGTTTACCGAGTTACAATATATATATATATACAATTAATAAAACAAACATTTGTATTTAAGACAGTAGCTGTCGTTTATTTTTGTTTATTGTAGAAGCATGTATGTTGCACAACTAGGTTTTAAAAATGTTGCCAAGACTTTGCCGAGTTAAAATGTGTAGAAGATAACTTGTATATTGCACACAGAGTGGAAGATGTAAAGACGTTCATTTTGTATTTTAGTTAATCCCTTGTTTTATAATTTTTTAAAGGGTAGTGGAGAGTCGCACAAAAATTCTGATTGCTCCG